GGAATGCCCCCTCTACGAAGAACAACGGGGGATCCTCCGGAATGTGTCAAGGACTATTTACCTACCAGACATCCTTGGCACCAAGGAAGGAATCAGCACTGAGCGAGTTCATGGAGAACACGGGAGCATTCACCCGGACAGGACAACCACAAAACGAGAAGCTTGCTCCAGAGCCAGAAGAGGAAGAAGGAGGAGAATGGTGGGAAGAAGAAGAGGGCGACACGGAAGACGAGCATGGATAACTGCCATGCACCCACCACACCATAGACCATGTCCAGCACAGCCAGCACCCAAGATATGCTCGCAAAACACCCCAGGCTTCAGCCAACCGCAGGATCAAATGAACCAATTAGCCCACCATGAGGGCACAAAATACCATACATGTCCGTTACTCTACTCCACACTACATGCCAAAACACCCGGGGAACTCAGAAGGAAGAACGGAGGGACTGGAACAAGAGGGAAAGAGGATCCTGAGGCCCTGTACCTCCACTGCATCTTAGTAGTTAGCTTACTTGTTGCGGTTAATCAAATGCTGAGGACAAAAAAAAAAATAGTCAATCAGTTGTTCACAAAGTTTGCAGTGGATTCAACCACGACATATTTTTATAAATACACACTATGTAATACAGATACTCCAAAATGCGTGCAAAAGACATCAATACATACATTATCTAGGAAGACAATCTATTCACACTTACTACCATTGTGCATCATTCCCTCTGCTGCCACCCCACTACTACGAGGTCACCACAGCTGATGCCAATGCTTTTGTGGTGACTTCATCATGAGCTGTAAACTCATTGGATGCTTCTCTTTATCCAGAGCTTGTCCCAGTGGACACCCACCCAGTCCAAAGTCTCCCACACAATCTCCTTTGTTGGGATTTTGCCAGAAAGTTCTAAAAAGAGCAATCCAGCATCATGCTGAGAGTTGATGAGTAAGCTTGAGAGAAAGAGAAAGTTGTAGTAAATTCTAGATATAAGCCTGGAGAGTATAAATACAAGCTCTGTAGAAGCTGCAGAAGAACAAGTTTATTCCATCTGGCCTTACCAGCCTGGAGTCTATCCTGTGCAACACCCAGGATTTCCAACATCCTTCAATAAATTTCCTGAAGCCTGTGATAGTACAAGCATGCTTCTCCATGAAACACTCAGAAATGGTGTCAAGCCTCTGCAGGCACTAGGCCAAGCAGGATCATTTACTGGATGAAGAAAGGTGAGATGACAGAGGCTGTCAGCTTTGTTGCATAAAACAAGTACTACACAAGCTCTGAAGAGGTTGTCAGATTCAAATAGGTAGTCAGTGGACATTTGAGATGTTAAGCCCAAGTTACACATGATCTGAACATGTGATAAACTGACACTGTATTGTGTTCATACAGTCATGTCAGAGTTCACTATATGTGTTATCTCAGTGGAGTGCTCCAAGGCCTGAGACAAGTTGGCTTGAGGTGAAGTGGTATAGAATAAACTTTAGCTCAAAGCTGGGTATTTACAGCAAGAGTTACACTACTTATATACTGTCTGGTCTGGTGTTAAATATAGTGCTGCCAATTGTGCATTGCTGCATTATAGTTCCAGTCACCTCTGGTCATTGAGGGTGTAACAATGAGGTATTGTCTGTGAACAAGATGGCATTGCTGTCTGGAGGACAATGGTGTGGGTTACCTATTGTGGTTGTATAATCATCTCATGCTCACCAGTAAGTGCCTTAGATTAGATAGACACCAAGATAAGATAAGAAGAATAGGAGAAAAATCATAACAATACCCTCCTATTAAGACTATCTTCCCAATAGATCATTTCAGTGATAATTGGTAGTCATGGATAGTATTGCCAGCATTTATGTGCCATTCATTGACCCACTGGTTAGACTCTGGTTCATAACCTTTCCAGCTGACAAGATAATTGACAGTTGTCCTAGTACTCTCACTATATGCATGAACCTTATGGAGTTTGTAGTGGAGGACTTGGTCAACCTTGTAGTGTTCTTTGTCATCAACCAAAACAGATTCAGGAGGAGGCAGTTTTTTCTGATTTAGAAAAGCAGGCATGATATAGAGTGTGAGAAGAGACTCATTGAATACATCATGGACATGCCAGGCATCAGAGAGTTAAAGATGGTAGGCAGAGTTATCAACTTTGGCAAGCATAAGAAAGAGCCCAGTGTGTTTATCAGCCAACTTTCTTTTTAAATGAGATAGATGAAGATTAGTTGTATCTAGCCATATCTTATCATTTATGGAGCAATTGTATGTTGGCTGGTGGCATTTGTCATATTGAGCCTTCATCACTGTGGCAGCTTTGGTGAGCACTATATGTTTTGTTATGGCTGGAAGACATGAGAGTGATAAAGTCAGTGGAAGTGGGAGTTGTTGTATAGTGATGTTCAGTCTTGGCAACATGTGAGTGTTGTCCATGGTTTACAAAAAGGAGGGTTTTGCCTGTTGCTGAGTGGACATGGATGTTGTGCTGAAAAGCCATTAAAGCAAGCCACTCTGTCCAATTGTCCTGCCAATAGTTGATAAACATTTGCAAGTACTTCTCTATCTCCTGATTGATCTATTTCATCTGCTCATTGGTTTGAGAGTGGTATGCTGCTGAGGCATTGCTTCAAATGCTGAGAAAGTGATATAAGTCATCCAAGAATTTGGAAACAAACTGAGGTCCTTGATCAGAAATGACCACTTGTAGCATCTCATATTTCACATACACTTCATTCCATAGGATTTTAGCTTATTCTTTTGAGGTCAGTTCCATCAAGCATGCAACTGTTATGATTTTCTCCATAT